CGTTAAATGTTTTTTCCTATTAGCAACATAACGTGAGTTTTTGTTTTTGTTTTTTTAGTATAATGTTTTTCTCTTTCATCGAGCATAATATTTTTCAAAACAACTTGAGATTCAAACATGGATTGGAATGGTGATTCAAGTTTGTTAAGGAATTTCACAACATCACTTGTACCTAATGGAAGTCTATATTATATGGTGAGATTGGTTAGTAGTGATGAATACATAAAATATTAAGGATTTTTAGAATTGGTACAAGTAAAGCTGGTTGATTTTGGGAAGAAAAAAAAAACTATGAACATTGATAGTTAAGTTGTTTGGTTTCAATTTGATAGGAAACAAACAAGATTAAGACTTGCTAACAAAACAATAACAAAATTGTGGATTGAGAAATAATGTGTAAAATGTGTGAATTTGAACATTATTTGTAGTCAATTTGTGCAATAGGAGTATTTTTAAATGATAAATCAAACAATAATATTTTGATGACAAACAATAATAATATTTGTATGGAAAAAATGGATACAAATAATAATATATATGTTGCTAATCTCTAAAATATCTCAACATCAAAACTCTTTCCTCATTTTACATCATTGTCTAATGGCTACCCCTATTTTTCCTTTCTCAATCTCAATATTCTCTCCTATCATCTCCGAAACATACATCTTTATCCCTCAAATCTCTTCTCTCTTTCAAACTCAACCCAACCCTTTCTCCAAATCACACCTCTTCAGACATACAAAGAGAGCACGGTGAGACAATGATAACTGCAAGGTGACCTTTAATGAGGTTATAGTGTTTTCAATTAAAGAGAAAGTGTGAACTTCACTATTTTTTAAGACATTCCACCTCTTTGCAAACCAAAATGGGATTCAATGCTTCTTTGCCACAAAATAAGTATCTTTAACACAAATTGAGTAGGGGTATTAATCCATGATCGGATTTTTGAAAAATTTTAAATTAAATTGAACTGATTCATTTTATAAAAGTGAATTGGTTAATTGGTTTTTTTTTTAATAAAATAGACTAGTTTAATTTTTAAAATATGAATCAGATTTTTTAAAATTGGATCACATCAATTCGGTGTGGTTATTCATTTTTTAATCATATATAGATTATTTAAAAAAAAATGAATTGATCCACTCCATAAAAATGAATTAGATAACTAAACCAGTTTTACAAAATAAATCAATTTAAATTTTTTACTCTAAATGAATCATATTTTTTTAATATACATTAAATTGGTTATGGATCCATTTGGATTTTTTATACACCGCTAAAATTAAATTCCTTTAGTGCACATCAAGTCTCTTAGTGCAAATTGTTTTTTCCTTGCCATAGATTAAGCCTTTGAATGCAAATTACCTTTGAATATTTTACTTCGAGCGTGATTTTTTATTTTTTATGTTTGCATACTTAAGTTGTAGTAAGATGTGGAACATGATTGATTTTTAGTTTGGATTGTGAATTTGGGAGCCTAAAATTTGTAGTTTTAATTTTGAATCGGATAATCTATTTTGTTTTTAACTAGTGAATCTTCTTCTATCTCAAGCTTTAATTGGTACATTTTCTTTTATCTTGCATACATTGATAGATGCAATAAAATAATTTTTTTTATTTATAACCATCATATAAAAAGAAAACTTATTTTTATATTTTGTTTTAGGGAGTGGAGGAATCGAAAGGAATGGAGGAATAAATGATAAATGATTTGATAAGAAAATAAATAAATAAAAATATAGTGAAATTTGTAGTTATTTGATCCATGCTTAAGTAAGGTCAGAGATTCGAATCCTGTCTTGTGTATGCAACTGCGTTAAATCTTGGGGCCAGCTATCTCACCCTTTGAGGTGCCTCCAACGTAGCAAGGAGATTAGTCACTGCTGTCGGCGGTGGATACTCCAGGAACGAACAAAAAAAAAAGGTAAGAAATAAAAGAAAATTGACATTTCAAAATTATATTTTATATAGTTATAATTTTATATGTAAAAATAAATTTACAATTACTATTTTATCCATATCTCTGTTCACATATAATATGTTTTTTTTAAAAAATTTTATACAATTTGGAAGCAAAATTAATTATTCTAGTTGACATAACTGATATGCTACATTATATTGGCCTCTTCGTACTAGTTGCATAATTGATTATGACGATAGTTGATTACAGTGAACTCCACATACACAAATAACATGCTACACAATGCATTAGAATCCTATCATAGAATCCTATCATAGTTGACTATGATGACTTCTAATATACAAACCTATAATAGGACTATAATAAAGTGTGATTTCGTCATAGTTAATTATAGGACATTCGATACACAAATAACATAATACATAATGTATTAGGATCCTACAATAGTTGATTACGATAATCTCCTTTACACAAATAATGTATAACTGCTACTATAATGGATTATGATCCAACATATTTGATTATAAGAGAAAATTAGATGTATTCAAAACTAAACCAACCTAATTGAAAAATAGAAAATCAATATTAAAAATCAAAAACCAATAAAAAAATTTGAAAAGTAGTGATTTTTTATGTTTTTATTTTACTAAACCGTGCCATTCAATTTAGTTTGCAATTTGGAATGTAAGTTTGATCCAAAACAAAAGGAAACACACCTAATATGCATTTTTTTTTAAAATATTAATCATTTATAATGTTTGAAAATAATTTTATTTTAAGTGACAAACTATATATGAGAAACAAATATTTTATATGATAACAAAAATTGTATCAAAGAAATATTTTCACAAAAATAATAAGATAAAGTCTTGATGTTAAATATATTGAATGACCATAAATTTTTAATATTTATATACTTTTAATTTTATTTTCTATTTACAAATTTTAAATAATTAACATAATATTATATGTTTTAAGTTCATTTAATTTTTAAATAATAAATTTTTAAAATCACAAAATCTAAACCAAATCTATCAACAAAAAATTAATTTTATTGATCATATTTCATATTACTTTCAAATAAATCAAACTGAACCACATTTATTTATTTATTTTGGTTTGAATAACTTTTAAACTAAAAATCAAAATCAAACTTTATTGTAAACATTTCTAGAAGAAATAACATATAACTAGTGTTAAATTAGTTTCATTATTCAACTCTCAATTATTATACTTCTGCCTAAATCATAAATCATCACACATTAGAGGGCAAGAATTAGCCTGTAAAACCTATATAAAATTTATTACAGTCCTTGACAAAAAAAATTTTCCCAAACACAATTTTTTTTTTAAATTGATGCTAACCCCTCTCCCTCTTCTCAATTTCCTATCAATCACCCCAACAAAATCAGTGTTAAGAATTTTAATGGAGAAAATCAAGTACAAGAAGATACTTGCCATAGAGATGCTCTTGTAACTTTTCAAATACCTCCAAAATCAAACTGAAAAATGTCACGAACAAGCCAAGACAAAAATCGTTAGGAAAGATATCGTGTGAAGAAAAACAGTTGAAATACTTACCAATAGAAGTATTACAGACGTCACAAATGAACCTGTATAAGGGATAATGAGGAGTGCACGATATAAATTAATGAATAGTGATAAACTATATTTATGCTTATTATAAAGGAATATTCAATTTTTGTGTAAATAATTTTTGGATTATTTTGTCAATATATTTTTAAATAATAAAAAATGATAAAAATTAATTAAATTCAAAATGTTGAGAAAGATTAAATATAATATCAATTAATTTAATAAATATTAATAATTTTTAAATATCTTTAAATAAATATAGAGACACAAAATATATTTATTTATTAATAATAATAATAATGATAATGATAGTAATATAATAAATATACCTTAACGGATTTGTTTTTAGTAGATAGAACATTCAGATGTGTGATAGATGACAAATTTACTTAGTGTTTTTAGAGCTTCCTTCCTAAATAATAAAGAACTTTATTCGGTAGAAAATTTCTTAAAATATTTTTAAATTTGTACACAAATAAGTTCTAATTATTTTTTTTATTTTAATCATATTTTTTATTATATTTTTTATATTAATAATTTTTTTAATAACTTATATGTAATTTTTATTAGAAACAATTTAATTTGAACCTAAAAAACAATAAAATATTTGCTTCTAGTAATTAAAATTTAAATTCAAAATTATTAATTAAATTAAAATAATTATGTGTCTCGTTAGTCTACTCGTTTGATAGTATGTTAATGAACAAATTTAAGTCTGTGTAAAGATTTTTTTTTTAATTTTTATTAAAGAAATTTAATATTCAGGGTGAAAAGGGGAAAAAAAATACCAAGGGCTTTTATTATTTTACATCTATTTATTTTTGAACAAGTAAAAGTTCGTTTCTCTCCTATTCTTAAAATAAAATAATTTTCACAGACATTTATACTATTGTATATTATTTTTTTTCATATATAAAAGAAAATTAATTATTTACTCTATTAATAACAATTACCTCTTATTTTGTAATCACTTTTAATCTATTTTTTTTTAATTTAGGGTCTAGCATTTAGAGCAATCTCTATTATTTGTATTTTTTAAAATTTAAATATTTTTTTTAGTCATTTAAATTTAAAGTAAATTTATTTTTAATACTTCAAATTTAAAATTAATTTTTTTAATTATGTAATTTTTAAAAACTTTATTTTAATTTTTTACTCAAAATTTGTTAGAAAATTTGTCAAATATTATCATATAAAATATATTTATTAATTTTTTTGTCATATCACATTAAATATATGTAATAGTATATGAAAGAATTTCAGACATATTATTAATGATCTAAGGAGTTAAAATGATATTTTTTTAAAAATTAGAAAAAATAATAATAATAATTTTAAATTTGAGAGAGTGAAATAAATTCATCTTAGATTTATAAAAAAACTAAAAAAATACTTAAACGTATGTTTATTATTTTTAAACAAAATAGAGTCTAGACACCACTACTTATACAAAGAAAGGACATAGCGATTGATTAACATTAGTGGCAATTAGAGTGACTAACACTAGTGAGTAACTAATGCTAGTGGCACTTTAATAGAATAGAACACGTTTCATGGTTGACTCAGTGGCGCAGAACAAGATAGATAACCAATAGTAATACCATGGTGTTGTCGCAGCATTCCATGTTCTGTGCCATTCCTCCCTCTCTCTTCACCCCATCACTGAAACAAAGGAACCCTTTTCTTCACCATCTCCCTTGTCCCAGAAAGCCCAAAGCCTCCACCTTCAGAGTTTCTTCTCTTGCCGCTGGTTTCTTAGACAACGTCCTTCAAATTACTCACAACAAGGTACCCCATTTCGAAATTCTATGTTTAGATGCCTGACAAATTCTGGGTTTCTTTCAAGTTTTGATTTTTCCCTTCCTGAATTTTAGCAAGCTCAGTCTTTGTTTTGCTGTTTCATGTGCTGAATTGGCGCGTGTTTTCTCTTTCTTTGATCTTCTTCTGCTAAGGTTCTGATTGCAGCTGGTGTTTCTGTGGCGATTGGTCAGCTTTCTAAGCCATTCACTTCTGTTTTTCTTTATGGCAAAGAGTTTGATGTCAGGGCAGTTGTTCAAGCTGGAGGGTTCCCATCATCACACTCTTCTGTATGGCCTTGCAACCCTTAATCAGTTAATCCTATTTTCATGATGCCACTTGAATTGCTGATTTTTCCACCCAGTGGGTTTTCACTGTCAATCTCAGTATCTCATCAAGTTTGGATTTTTCTGTGCACAGGCGACAGTGGCTAGTGCAACATTATTTGGCCTTGAGAGGTAAGGAAGATTACTCATCTTGGTGTTTGGTTCATAAGAACAATAAATATATTCCATTAGATAATATTTGAATGGTCAAGATTAAAAGATAATGCACGTGACTTTTATAAGAATTCTGGCTTGATACATGTGTGTGTATGTATATGCATGATTCCTTATGATATATGTAATTTTACAATTTCCAAATGCAGAGGCTTCTCCGATCCTATTTTTGGTCTGACAGTTGTGTATGCTGGTCTCATTATGTATGATGCTCAGGTATGATATTCTTCTAGCAAGATGTTTCTAATTCTATCTAGCATTTTATGTTATTTACTTTTCTTAATATATTTGTATCACGAGGATGCCTTTTGCAACGTCCTTTTAACCATTTTAGATTTGAACTGCACGTAGAATATACCCACAATTTGTGAGGTCTATTTTATAATTAAACGCCGTGATGCTCCATAGGCTATTTCAAACTTAATGGAGTAGACTTGAGCAGAATTAAATTAAGATCTACTAAGATGTTGAATATCGTTGTGTGATTATCTCTGATCTCTAATGATGATCAAACTATTTGTGGAATTCTTACCATGGTTGTATTGGTAAATAATATATTTGAAAATTTAGTCCTTAATCAAGCCGAATGATGACGTGTAATTCTTGTAGCCGACCTCACTTAGTGGAATAAGGCTTTTGTTGTGTGTTTTTGTTGTAGTATTGGTAGACAGGAACAAATTTGATTCAAATTTTGGCTTACAGCTTCTTGCTTTATATGAGATGTTATATTTCTGGAACTACTTATGTTGGCAAAACATATGAAATAAGCCCAATTTATTGTGGTTCAGTCTACTGTGAACTGTCCAATCCATGGGCCAAATAGAGAGAAAATTCACTATGATCAAGGAAGATTTCAACCCTAAACCCTTTAATACCTTTTGTTATCTGTTTCTATTTCAGTAATACATTGTAAATCCACCCATGGGTACTGATAGTACACTGATATCAGTATCAGCAGAAGAAAAATACAGAGGGTTTACTAAAAGTTTTTACACGTTAGCGGTGAAGTTTAAACCTATGACCAGATGCAAGCTACCCAAGTTCCTCACCAGTAGCCCTCCTAGTGGCTTGGTTTGTATCACATTGCAAGGAACTTGGTAAAAATTTAGGCAGACAATGCTTGTCTTTGGTAATTTGGTTTTTGTTTCATACTCAGATTTAGATTGCAGCAGAGACTTCTTTTGCTCTCCTCTTTATAGGCTTCACTGTACAAAAAAAATTAAATAAATAAATAGGTTTCCCCTGCTTTGACCTTGACACTTCATTAACTATTTAACTGACAGAAAGTGAAAGGAAGTTTAATGGATGCATAAGGAAAGTTAAAAATGAATGGTTGTAATTGGGAGAGAAACTGACAAGAAAGTTCTTGCCAGTCTGAACCTGAAAAAAAAAAATTGTCAAATGTTCTTTTAGTTTATGTTTTCAGGTGTCAATCCTTTGGCATGCCTGAAACATCCTCAGGGTATACTCATCATATTCTACTCACGTGCCACATACTTGGTGCATGTTTGATTCAACTTATTTTAGAGAAATGATCACATTTTTTACAACTTTGTTAGAGTTTTTGACAAAAACATTATTTGCCCCAACATAATCTCAAGTGATCAATCAAACATGCATTTATTGGAGGAGCCAAACATTGTAATGTTCATCCCATCCACTATAATTTACTTATTTCTTGTGAAGCTTTATAAATCTTTTTTTATCTTTTTCATTTCTCCTAGTAATTATCTTGGCCAAGACAAAAAATTGGCTAAAGTCAGTTGCATAGGTCCAGCAGAAAGAACGTTTCTACAAGCTAATTGTCGTCACAAGTGGAAAACTTACCATTCCATCCGTGGATGTGTTAATATTTATCTACAAACCCTTTTCATTTTACAACTTTGGTAATATCAACCTTCAAGTTGATTTTAAGGGATCACAAGTAAAAAGTTTTTATTAGGAAAGAAAGGAAATAAATTGCCTTTTTATTTCTGATATAATAAATGCTTTCTTTTTCAATAGAAATTTTCTACTTTGAGAAATGCTAGCAACAACATTTCTAACACTCTTTTGGACGCACTCTTCCTTATTAAGTGAAATTCATGTGGGTCTCATTTTCCATTTGGTAGGTTTCATTCCCAAATTAGTAGAGACTGAGGTGAATTTCAAACAATAGGTGAAAAGTCTGGTAGAAAGTGTATTACTAGTACTACTCTTCTTCAAAATCTTATTTTTAACTTGTGTATAAGTTAGTTTTAGCTTATGAAGATACTTATTTTAATTTTCTTTCTTATTGTTTTTCTTTTAGAAGTGCCTCCGGAGAAGTTATCTACACAGTTCTTAGTTTCTTAATATTAGGCCAAGAAAAACTTTTGTACATTATATCATTTATCCTTTTAATTTGGTTGTTTTTTTTACATCAATGTGACCTGTTTAGCCAACAATTGAGAGTGTGGCTTGTGTGATTTGCAGGGTGTAAGAAGAGAAGTAGGGATTCATGCTAGGACGCTGAACAAACTACTGATTCATATGCAAGCCAACACTTTAAGTTCCAAAGATAGAGATAATTTGATCAACTCTCAACCAGGACTATCAAAGCCACAAAAAGTAGAAGCCACTTCTTTGGAACCACAACAAGCAAATGCAAGCCTATTGGTTAAACCAGGAAGCAAAATAAGGCAGATAGAAGCAGAAGAAATCTCAAATTCGGCTATTGATAGTATACCCCCATTAAAAGAATCTATTGGCCATACTGAGATTGAAGTCATAGCTGGTGCTTTACTAGGCTTTTTGGTGGCTCTAGCTGTGAATAATGTGATGTAAAATCATGTTTTTTGATGAATGATTTAATAGTATATCTTACATCAAGTAGATTATTAAATTGAAAATCAGTGAGTTGGAAAGGAATCAAGTTGGTAAAGGATTTAGGTTATCTTTGACAAAACTGCCAAAACATACCAGGTTTGGATATCTCCAAACTGAGCATGACATCAATAAAAATAAACATTAGGACCTGTCTAATGACGAGGACTAGAATAATGGGCATAAACATTTAACTCTCGATGTCGTCTTTCTAATTTTTATGGATAAAAGAAATATTAATAAAGAAAAAATCTGTTCAAATAGAATTATAAATCAATTTCTATTTATTTATATTTATATATAAGGGGTTTTTTTGTATATTATTTTTTGATAATTTTAATCTTTTAAATTAAAAAAATTGGTAAATAAAAGTTATTAAAGGTTAGAAAGGTCTTGTCCTTAGACATATGTGTATTCAATACCTCTAATATGTTTATAATATAAATTTGAAACGCAAATTAATTAACGGAGTTCGAATTTTAATAGTTTGGATAAATCTGATAAAAAAAATCAAATTAATGTAGAGTTAGTTTGTTTAAAATTAAAATAAATGTTTTAAAAAGGGTGTTTTTCAATTTTTTTCTTATAAAAATAGATAAGAGTTCCTTTTAAAAAAATGTCATTATTTAATAAAAGAACGTGTAATTAAGAATTAAAATGAAAAAAATTTGATAATAACAAAAACAAATGAAATTTTCTAAGAGGATAAAATAAATATAATTAAAAAGACATTAGAATTGGTCTAGTAACCAGAGTTAGAATAAAATGTACATAATTTTAAGCTTAAATTTGGATATTGTCATTGAAATTCCGTTGGATAAAAAAAATAAGAATTAAAAATTTGCCTAACACCGCCTTACTCATTTCACAGACAGTGTTTCTAGGAACTGAAAAGGCAGAAAACGTGGCAGAAAAGAAGGGTGGAAGTGGCATGTGGGTGGTACAAGGTTAGCACACGTGTAACTCCATGGCATGTTAGCATTATCTATACTTTGTGAGGTTGTTGATATAAATAGGTTATAGGTAGATGACATTGATGAAGCATAGAGAAAGATTGTGTTATAACTTACAGTCAAAGGATGTCGGGGGCACAAGGGGCACAGCCAAAAGAGTCAAAGACAGCAACAACGTACGAGTCAAAAGGAGGAGAGAACCGTACAAGGACTGAGTTGCGTTCATGGGAGGATCAAGGCTGCATTCAGGTTGAAAAACAGCAGGAGAAGGTCCATGATCCTGCTGGCAAAGGTGGTCCTGTCTTTGGTGCTGGCAAAGATGACAACAAACAAGACCTTGGAGTTACTGGCACGGGCTAGCTAACCTATTGTTCAAGTACTTAAATATCGGTTTAAAATTATGTTCAAAAAACATATACACGTTGTAATCTAAAAACGTTCTTTTGCATGTGTTCCTAAACTAGTCTCTTGTCATCATGCTAGTGTTTTGTGATGAGAGTTTATGGGAGTGAAACTGTTTGCTTCAGTTATCTTCCTTACCATGTATGTATGCACTTTGTGTTCAATCCAATAAAGTGGAAGAAGAAAGTTGTTAATGTACAATGTTCTTCATCACTTGCATTTTTTTCATCTTCATATTTTGCTGTCACTTAACAAGGCCATAGTCGAGTGAATTTGGGTGTAGTTTTATAAATGCAAGTTTAGATTATTTTAATTCTAAACTACGGTTGAGAGGAGTTTCTAGATAGGGGTGTTCATAGATCCATTTTTTGAAAAATTTTATAAAAGTGGATCCTGGATTGGTTTGGTCTTTTTAAAATATAGATCGGTTTTTTTAAATTGATTGGTTCAATGCAGTATATTTATTTATTTTTTATTTATATATGAGTCGGTTTTTTTAAAAAATCGAACTAAACCAATTTATTTTGTAAAAATGGATTGGATATTTGAGTCGATTTTATAAAGTAGATCAGTTCGAATTTTTTTTCAAAATGGATCAAGTTTTTTAATGCAGATCGGATCAGTTATGGATCGGTTCGGATTAATTTGAATTTTTTTCACACTTTCAATTCTATATATCTATATAATCTAGTATATACAAGTTCTACATAATAGATTTGTAAAAAAATTCAGATGGATTCTAATCAATCATGTAATTTAACTAATCTACATTAAAAAAAAAGTTTGATCTGTTTTTATACTGAGGAATCAAATATCCCTTTGACCAGTGCATAACCTGAAAGAGTATTCGATTACAATGAAAGCCGGATACTCGTCACCATCGAAATCACGTCACCCTAAGCTGAGCAACCATCTAGTCATGAAGGTTGAAGGTCAAGTACTAGTTCAACTAAGGTATAACCTGAAAGGGTATTTAGCCATAAGATAAGCCGAATACTCCTTATTACAGAAATCACATTACACTAATTTTTGGTTAGTTAATAGAGGTTCACGTTAGCTCATATTAAGGTATGAAACTCAAGATTATTAATCTCTTAATCAAAAAAGTCTATCAAGTCCAAATAAGTCACTATAAATACAATATTGATAGGACAGAAATGGAGGTACGATTATTTAATACTACAATATTTATTGCTTTTTACCGAGTGCTAACTTGAGCGTCGGAGTATCTTTGCAGGTACTCTCTCCCTTGTCAGGACAAGGATTCAAGAAGTTATCACCTCAGCTTGGAAGAAGATCAAGTGTCAGAGAGCATCAACATAAGAGTGTTTCCTAGTAGGAACATTTTGGCGCCCACTGTGGGATTGAAACTAGAACGATTTCTGACCCTGAATTGAGATGATAGCAACTAGAAGTCAACAAGAAAACTCAATTGTCCATAACCTTGGGATGCCCCAAGAACCCAGATAGCAACAAATCAAACTGAAGGAGAAGCAATGGAGGAGTCATACGAGGACCGTCCACAACTGGCCAACCTGTCATTAGCCATAGAACAGCTAAAGGCCGAGATGTTGGAGTTGAGGAGACTTCGGCAAAGAGACGCTCGCGAGATCGCGAGCTATCCATTTTAAGAAAAGAGAACGTGAAACTTAGGGGCGACAACCACTCATCCATCGCAAACCATCCTGAATATGGGCCTACACATGATCAAGAGGAATCCTCAAGATAGTATAAGGAAACAAGAATCCCCAACCAACCTGCTGGAGCGACGACAATGCTCGATCAGTAAAGATGACAAGGGAGGACGCCATTCACTCCTGAGGTCACCAGCGCGCGACTGCCTGATAACTAGAAAAAATTTGGCTGTAGAACGATATGATGGAACTATCAATCCGAAGGAACACCTAGACACCTTTATCACTCAGGTTAGTTTATTCATGGAGGAGGATGCCATCATGTGCAAAGTATTTCCTACATCATTGAAAGGACCCGCTTTAAGCTGGTTCACAAGACTCACTCCAGGATTGATAGATTCCTTCGCTACTTTATCGTCCTGTTTCAGTATCCAGTTTGCCACAAGTCGACCTCATCGACTTACCTCCCTTGTCTTAGTCAACATTTGCCAAGAAAAAAGGGAACCTTCGAGGGCTTTCATAGAATGATTCAGGAAAATGACTAGCCATTCGGGATTTGGACTCGACAGTAGCCATGCACTACCTCATTACGACACTACGACTTGGGCCCTTTGTCAATAGTTTGTGTAAGAAGCCACCTATAGACCTCGACGATCTATGACAAAGAGCGACCAAATACATGCAAATGTAAGAGTTGGCAGAATTCAGAAATCAGTCATGACAAGATTTTAATAAGAAAGAAAGGGACCGAGAACACCCGGTAAAACCCTGCCCACCAAACATCGCGGATCGCGAAAGGACTGCAGGGGGACCAAGGTATGCGCAATACACACCCCTAAATGCCAGTAGAGCTAAGGTATTGGAGCAAGCTCTGGCCAGCAAAGTCCTAATAGTGCCCCGACGTGCTATAACTCCACCCTATGCAGACATGACGAAAACGTGCCAATTTCACAGAAATAGGGGACACACCACGGAGGAGTGTACAACTATCTGAGATCGCATTGAAGATCTCATGAAAGAAGGAACCTCCGAAGCTTCGTACAATCCTCAAACAAGAGGCAGGATAGTCACTCCAATCAAAGAGTCGCAAGAGAGAGGGCCAAGATAGGGCGCCTCCAAGATATAGACACAGGGAACGCAACAAGTCACATGAACGGACTGATTAATAGCAAGAAAGGAATCTCTCGAGAAGTGTGATCAATATAATCGCCGGAGGATTCGTAGGAGGTGGAGGCACCTCTTCAGCTCGTAAAAGACACTTAAGGAAGATTCGGTCGATAAATACGGTAACACAAGCAAGTTTAGTCCCTATGCCACCGATCACCTTCACTAACAGGGATTTCCAGGGGGTCGATGTGACACCCTTTACCCCAACATTTAATACACAATAAATGTAAATAATAAATTTTTTTTCTTTTGAGTAAATAAAATCTTTCATAGTTGACAACATCTTTCATGGATAAAACAATTGTCTCAAATATCATAAGGTAAAAGATTCACATTCGTAACTCATAAATCATAAAAAATCAACATGTAAGTATCAAAACTCAAGAAATTATATAAAGGAAAATATAGATTAATTCCAGCAAAGGTGGCAGTGACTCCTAGTTAGGAATTAATTTATAACTTCCAAATCATGTAATAAAATAATATGAAAAAGATGCACATTTTGGTCTTTCATCAAGAACGTTCAAACTTACAAAAGAAAAGAAAACTAAGGCTTTTAAAATAATAACATCCTAAACTAAGCCTAGCTATGCCCGATGTGACATCTTATCAGAGCATGCCTAACTGAAGCCTTAAGCCTCATCACCAACATCCTCATGATGATGATCACCTGCAACATAATTTAAACATATACATGAACAACAAGGGAGTGAGAAACATCTCACTCAGTTTCAGGTGCAAAATTAAAGGTTAGATAGCACACACAACAATCATAAGTCATAAACACTAATCACATATAAACAATACCCATACATGATCAGTATTACATGTACACTCATTTATCATGTATGATGTCATGGACTTGACCCATAAATGCATGCATGTGGCGCCATACGGAAGTTTCACATTTCATCACTAGTGACCCTAAGGTACACTTGGTTACATCACTTGTGACCCTAAGGTACACCTGGTTACATCACTGGTGTCCTTATGGTACACCTGGTTTGATGTGAATCAATCGATTATAAGGAAGGTGCCATAAATACGATTATTTGATAAGCCAAGAAAGATCGCCACAAGAATTGGAGAATTCTTGATAAGATCAGTTGATGCAAGGAAGAACCCTAGTAGAGCTAAAACTCACAAAAAAAATATAATCTGAATAGTCTGTCTCTTTTCTCAATTCCCAAAATGTTTAATACAACTTTAGTTTGAGTTTGCCTCATTTGGAAGTAAATAAAGAAAATTAAAATACTAATATCCCAACAGAAGCTAATATGCCTAAGTGATTTGATGAAGACATTATAAGCTTAAGGTCTTGGGTTCAAATCCTGAAATGTAGTATTTTATTATTTTTATTTTTAATACTGCCTTTTACAAAATAAAACTAACACAACTTTAAAACTTAAGACATAAAAAGATAATAATAATAAAATAAAAACTAAATCTTCCAGTTGGCCTCCTAGCTCCCCAAGCAAGCTATGCATGTAATAAGTCTAGCCTCCTCCATGTGTTGAGTCGATTGTTGGGTCTCTAGCAAATGGGCCACTTTGTGCTGCAATGTCTCTTGGGTTTTTTTAAGCATCCCTCTAGTCATAGGCCCACCTAAGATTTGAATTGGATCTTGATTTTTATCCTCTTCGTCGTGGACTTGGGCCTTCTATGGGCCTCTTGAGTTTGGGCTTTTATGTCCACATCATTCTCTCCTTCTTGGGCAGCATTTATTCTCAAAGCTATGAATTCATCTCCTGCATCAAAATGAGTCAAATCAGCAACATTAAAAGAAGAACTTACACCATACTCACCTGGTAGATCGATCTTGTAAGCATTATCATTGATCTTTTCTAGGACTTGGAAAGGTCCATCTCTTCTAGGTTGAAGTTTGAACTTTCTTTGTTCAGGGAACCTCTCTTTTCTCATATGTACCCAAACCCAATCACCAGGTTCAAAAATAACTTTCTTTCTGCCCTTGTTGGCTTTCTTGGCATAACTCTCAATTTTCTTTTCAGTTTGAGCTTTCACTTGCTCATGCAACTTCTTCACATATTCAGCCTTAGCCTGTGCATCTTTATGCTTAAATTCAGAAATGTTAGGCATAGGTAACAAGTCAAGTGGTGTTAGAGGATTAAATCCATACACAATTTCAAATGGTGAACATTTAGTTGTGCTATGGACAGCCCTATTATATGCAAACTCTACATGAGGCAAATGTTCTTCCCAAAATTTAATATTTTTCTTTAAAACAGTCCTAAGCAAAGTGCCTAAAGTTCTATTCACTACCTCAGTTTGTCCATCGGTTTGTGGGTGACAAGTAGTAGAGAAAAGTAATTTAGTACCCAACTTACCCCACAACGTTCTCCAAAAATGACTTAGGAACTTGGTGTCCCTATCACTTACAATGCTCCTAGGTAGCCCGTGGAGTCGCACAACTTC